GAACATAGGCGAAGAGAGGTGGTTGTTTGGAATTTTCGTACAATGTCACTGGCACTGTCAAGAGTTGCTTAATGTAACCACATTTTACTGCTGGAAACTTTCAGTGGTATTTGAAAAGAATATTGTAAGCTGAATAACACCAGTGTTTGCAAATCTACTAAGTGCAGTAGAAATCATTGGTGGTGAATGAATCATGTCATGTAAGTGGAATATATATTAGCTGCACTGCAGTTCTTGTTTTAATAGCACTATATTAACAATGTTAAAAAGGATTCCTTCACATTTGGTAAGACTGTACAAGAACATTGAGAACCATAGCATATCTACAAAGACCCTTTTGGGATACAGCCAGGCTAAGTGCATACCACAAAAATTGGCGCATGGAAGATAATGTGGGAAAATATAATGTTATGGATCTTGGCTGGAAGAATAGACGAGCTTGATATGATTTAAATGGAGAAAGACTGCAGAAAGCTATCGCGCAGGGAGATTTTGGAGTCCTCGTGCACAAGTAACAAAAAGGTAGCATACAAGTTGAGGTGGTAATTGGGAAGGTAGATGGAATGTTGACCTTTATTTTGAAGAGAATGAAGTTTAATAATTGGGAATTCTGGCTTAAATTATACAAGGCACCAATCAGACTACAGCTGGAGTACTGTGAACAGTTTTGCTCCCTTTATCTAAAGAAAGTGTACTGGCATTGGAGGCAGTCTAAAGAAGGTTCATTCGGTTGATACTGGGTGTGGAGGGACTGTCTTTTGAGGAGAGATTGGGTAGGTTGCGCCTGCACTCTTTGGAGTTTAGAAGACTGAGAGGTGACTTTCATGAAACATATGAGATGCTTGGGCCTTGACAGGGTGGATGTGGAAGGGTTGTTTCCCCTAGTTGTAGTGTCCAGGACAAGAGGGCATAATCTCAGAATAAGGAGCATCCTTTTAAGACAGGAGATGGGGAGAAATTCCTTCTCTGAGGGCAGTGAATTTATGGATTCTCTGCTGCAGAGGGCTGTTGAGGCTGTGTCATTAAGTATATTCAAGTTTGAGATGAACAGATTTTTAATTAGTCAGGGAATCCACCATTACGGAGAAAAGGCAGGAAAGTGGAGTTGAGGATTAGCAGATCAACCATGATTTCATTGAGTGGCAGAACAGATGATGGGCTGAATGGCCTGTTTCTACTCCTACATCTCATGGTCCATGTATTCTTTTGATAGCACTTTCACATAGACTTTCTACATGTAAAGAAAACGTGACTTGGTGAAGTGATACCAGCCTCTGTGGAGTTATTTCAGTGCCAGCTTATTTATCAGCAAATAATTCAAAGAACCTATCGATTTACATTCATACAGTCATAGAGATATACAGCATGGAAACAGACCCTTCAGTCCAACTTATTCATGCCAACCAGATATCCCATTTGCCAGTATTTGGCCTATGTCCCTCTAAACCCTTCCTATTTATATACCCATTCAGATGCTTTTTAAATGTTGTATTTGTACCAGGGTCCATCACTTCCTCTGCAAGCTCATTCCATACATGCACTACCCTCTGCATGAAAAAGTTGCCTGTTAAGGTCCCTTTTAAATCATTCCCCTCTCACCTTAAACCTATGCCGTCTAGTTTTAGACTTCCACACTCTGGGGAAATGGCCTTGCCTATTTATTCTGTCCTTGCCCCTCATGATTTTATAAACCTCTATAAAGTCACCCCTCAGCCTTTGATGCTCCAGGAACAATAGCCCCAGTCTCTTCAGCCTCTCCCTATAGCTCAAATTCTCTAACCCTGGCAACACCCTTGTAAATCTTTTCTGAATCCTTTCAAATTTCACAGCATCATTTGTATAGCAGGCAGACCAGAATTGCACACAATATTCCAAAAGTGGCCTAACCAATGCCCTGTCCAGCTACAACATGACCTCCCAACTCCTATACTCAATGCACTGACCAATAAATGCGGGCATACCAAACGCCTTCTTCACTATCTTATCTTCCTGCGACTCCACTTTCAAGGAACTATGAACCTGTATCCCACGGTCTCTTATTCAGCAGCAGTCCTCAGGACCTTACCATTGAGTGTATAAGTCCTGTCCTGACTTGCCTTTCCAAAATGCATCACCTCACATTTATCTAAATTAAACTCCATCTGCCACTCCTCGGCCCATTGGCCTGTCTAATCAAGATGTGCACTGTGTCACTTTATAATAGCAATCTAGGGGTATAAACTGTGTCTGAATCTTGTGCATTGAACTCATGGACTCAGCAACTTCTGCAGTTGTGTTCAATTTCAGTGACATCATGTAGATCCAAAGAGATACTGTTGATGTGGGATCCCCTTTATGCCTAGATCTTGGTCACAACTTTGTTAGTTACCACAAGAAGCACATCTTCAATGGAAAGACCACTAACCTCCTATCCCTTGCATGCATTGGTTGTTTCTGTAGATGACAAAATGTGGAATATATCAGTCTACAGCTGTATCAAAGAATTTCTTTACACTGATTAATAAACTCTTGCCTGTACTCAAATTTACTATTAAAATGGAACAACCAAATGATCTACCTTTACTTGATGTATTAGTTGAGAAATCTGAAAATGTGTCCAGAACTAATGTCTACCAAAATCCTACGTTCACCAGTCAATGTACACATTAGGATTCCTACAGTTGCACATGATACAGATCAATCTTATTGATTGATCTTTGTGAATCAGACCTCAGTCATCAGATCACCATATCAGCTTGATGCTGAGGTAGAGCATATCAAACTATCCTGCTTGGTAACTGATACACTGATCAAATCATGATTTGTTATATATCATGAAAACTCATTCGCCTGTAGTGCTGCCTGGTCTACCTCCGATTACCCTGCAAGAGAAATACTTATCAAAAATTTGAACCATTGGTGAAGCTAGCTGTCGCACACTGCTACTGTGTAGTATGTTTATGCCCAGATGTTGTGTGCTAAGAGAACGCAACAGAGTAATGTGATATATATGCTGCTGTGATGGTGTGATGACATGTATGTAGGCCATAGCGTCCCAACAACTGGCATGCCCCGTTGACCATTTGCAGTTGGCAGCATGCAGCTCGTGCTCTACCAGTTCCTGTTTGCAAGGCTCAGAAAGGTATATCCACAATTTGGTGTAATTCTGCTGTTGGAAGTCATTCATTTAATAACCTTGGCTTTGCTAAGAGTTATCCTGGAAACAAATTTAAGATTATCAGCAGAGTTTGCACTGTGATGCATTTGCTTATTCTAGTAACCACATTCAAGTATCCAGGAGCTTGTTTTAGTTAAGCAAAAGGAGTTTGTGTGTACATTGTACCTTTTTCAAACAAAAGGGTTATGAAGACAGTCAACCTCTGCTGCAACTGCAAGGCAATGCCTTGTCAAATCAGAATTAACCTGCTTGGCTTGAGAATTAAGATTGTTGGTTAACTGCTGTTGCTACATCTCCATGGCAATGATGGCCCAACTAATCAGCACCCTCTGTCATGCTCTATAAAATGGTATCTCTTTTTTCAAGAGTATTTCTGAAATATGAGTTCTGATGAGTGTAAGATGAAAAGCTTCATCTTAACTTCATCATTGCTAAAATGAAATTAAATTGAAAACACTTATGGAGTGATGTCAGTAAGTTGTGAGCACATTATTTATAAGAGATGTCAAGCCAATATCGATGATCGACATGGAGAAAGGCCCATGGAGAAAAAGTATTTTAAACTATAACAGTGGTCTGTGAGAGAGTTATTTGTTCCCTTACTTCTTGTGTTTGGCAGGAATTTGAACTTTGATGTATTTGGCTGCATTGTATTGTCTAGAGGTTTATTTCAAACATTTATTACCTTTTTAGAGTTTTAAAAACATATATTGAGCAACTTTATTTTATACTTCCTGCTCACATTTTTGAACAAGTGAAGACGGCTCACAGTAGACTGCCTACCTCAATCACACTGCATTAATTTAGTATAATTACAAATATGCTGCCCTTTGTTGAGGCTTTCTCCTACCTGGTTGATGATCTATAATTACATAACTGAAAATAAATCTTTTTGCTCAGAATGGCCATCTTACTGAGGTATTCTGAACAGTCTGCTTACATTTTGAAAGCTGTGCCAAAATCCACAAAATTACAAGAATGTCAACAGCAGTTTAAATTAAAGAAAATTCCACAATGTTATAATAAGCCTGTTCATGCTATCACTGTTTGTTGATCCTTTAAAAGATTACACAACCTGGATCGATATCTACCTCTTGGTCATAAGTTATTCCTTGGGCATATCCTATCTGCTCCAAGTTTCATTCAATATTTTAAAAATATATATATTGCTAATGGATTCATAAACCATGGAGAAAGCATACCTCGATCTATCTTTACTGATGGAGGGAATTGATACCCTAACAGAATCATAGAATCCCTACATGCAGCAAGAGGCCATTTGGCCCATTGAATCTGCACTGATCCTCCCAGACCCGCATATGCCATCCCCATAACCCTGTATTTACCATTGTCAATCCACCCAGCTTCACATCTTTGTACTGTGGGCAGAAATTAGAGTATCAGTGGAAACCCATACCGATGCAGGGAGAATGTGCAATTCTACCCAGACTGTCAGTCTTCACTGAAATTAAACCCAGGACTGAGGCACTGTGAGGCAGCGGATCTAATCACCGGGTTCCATCCCCTAATGTTTTGGCTTTTTCTGAAGCTTTATATATATAATTCCACATGTTATGCACCTTGATCAGGTGCCATCATAACAGTAAAAATGGACTAAAAATGGACAACTCTCATGGTTGTTTGCACTTTTTTTTTCTTGTCGAAGGCTGTTATGTTGAGGTCTAAGAAATGGAAAATATAGAATCAAATATATTTCCAATGGCTTGAGAAAAAAGATAAAATTGTTAAAGTAACAAAGGTATTGAAACTGTGGATAATACCTGGCTTTTTTTGTAGTTTTCAGAGTGAATATTTGAACTGTTTTTTGTATTTTCATTTGCAGATGTGAAAGGGCCCCCAACACACAGACTGTCATGTGGTCAGTCTCCATACACGGAAACAGCCTGGGATCAGAAATATTGCATGCTGACTGATAACCAAATGATCCTTCTGAATAAGGAAGAGGAGGTAAGATTTAGCAGTATTAAAACTATTTTGTGCCAGATTATTACGTATGTAATATGTCCAATATAGGCAGTAGATAAGCAAAATATCTTTACTTCTGCTAGGGGTAACTTTTGATGTATAGTATTCCAGAAAATCTAGTATCTAGTGGAACATAGCCAAACTACGTTTAATGATGAATTTTTGAAGAATATCTTTGCCTCAACTGACCTCCTTTCTCTGACTTCTTGACTGTGAGCTTCTCACTCCCACATTTAATGAAAACAAATAATTAAATCTTAAGTAATTTTGCAACATTTTCCTTTTGAGACGTATACTAGAAAATGCACTGGGCAGGATTAAATAAGGATTCCAGTCCTTGGTTATGAAATGCAGTTAATCAGTGTGTCATGTTACTCACTAGCTCCCTTTCCTTTAAATGAGTTGAGTATTCAGGATGACTCATAGAATCATAGAAACCATGTAGAGCTGAAACAACAAGGTGCAGGGCTGGACGAACACAGCAGGCCAAGCAGCATCACAGGAGCAGAGAGGCTGACGTTTCGGGCCTAGACCCTTCATCAGAAAA